GGCGGGGCCGGGCTCAGGGAGGCGAAGTAACTGGTCCTTGGTCACATAGCTAATAGGTGAAGGAGCCAGGATTCAAATCCAGGTGTTGGGCTCCAAAGGCCAGGGCTTAACCACTCTGCCCTAAGATAAATTCCAACCCAGGGTAGGAAATGCAGAGGGAGGAGAGTTTACCTCCCCTGGGAGCTGGGAGAAGGAAGGAATTGAGAAGGATATCCAGGGAGGCATCAGAGAGGAGGCAGCCTCTGGAGTATGTTTGGGGTCTTTTTCTTTTGTCTGGGTCCTGCCTTCCATTGGCTTTCCTGTGGGAGGTGCTTTGGCTGAGAGGCTTGTGGGTAGAATGGCTGGGACTTGACCTCCCAACCTTTGCTGGGGAGGGTACCATGGGGAGGTGTCTTGTAGGAGGGCTTGGGGTGCTCTGGGAGCTGGCTCCCTGGGAGGCAGCAGTGCTGGTGCACTTGCCCCCTCCATAGCTCCCTTATCCCTCAGCCTCCCATTCCTCCTGAATGTTTCCCAGCCGCCTGGCTTCCCGTGGATCTGTCCTTGTAGTGGAGAGAGCACAGGACCACTCCTCTCACTATTCACCACACACGGAGCCCCTACACACAGAGAAGGGGGTACAGAAATGCAAAAGACATAGGCCCTGCTTCATCTGATCTGGTCATGAGAAGAAGACACAAGGCAGAGGAAGCAGAAGAGAATTCAGCAGACAGAACTAGGGGTGGGACAGAATATCTTTTGATGTCCAGGATCACCCAGTTGGGTCCAGGTGGAACAAGCTGAGGCTATTTCCTCCCCTTTCCCTCTCCCAATCCCCAGCAAGGAGAGATTCTGTGGATGACCACTCAGGAGGTGAAGGTCTGGTCCCCACAGGGTCAGAAAGCACAGTATAGTAATCGTGCAAGTCTGGACTCTGCAGACAGAAAGTCAGGTTCGAAGCCAAGTGCATACTCACTGAGTGACCTTGGGCAAGTACTTAGCCATTTGGACTCTCCATTTCCTTGTAAGCTGAAACCTCCTCAGCAGTTATTATGAGGGGCAAACAAAATGATGCATGGAAAGAAAGCCCCCTGCACAGCGCCAGCACATAATAGCACCTAGGAATGTTAGATCTCCAAGGGATGTGTAAAAATGTGGTGTGTGTTCCGAAAGCTCCCTTGGACACCTTGGTCCTGGCTCCGGTTTGGGATTCTGCTTCGTGCGCTCCAGCTCATCCCCAAGCCTCCCCCTCGGCTTGGCACTCCAGGGGAGGTGTGGCCTGGGGCGCTGAGGGGAGGGAGGGGTGTCGGAGCTCCCCAGGTGGTTGTACAAGGTGCTGGCTCCCTGGGCAGCTGGTCACCTGTGCTGTTCTTGGAGTTCCAGTGCCTGGTCTGGACAGACGGAGGCTTTGTTCCTGCTGCTGATTATGTAAGAACTGCAGATGGTCGGAGAGCGGAGTGAATGTGTACCTGGCAGCTCCAGGGGCTCTGAGGGGCAGAGGGATTAGGCTGGCAGCCTCCTGGAACAGGAGGATGGGCAGTGTTCACCCAGCTCTGCCTGGGGAAACCTGGAGGCTCCCTGACCTGGAACCCCTGCTGAGAGCCGGGAGGGAAGCTCTTCGTGAGAATGGTGCCCAGGTGGTGGCTGCACCCTGGGGCAGCCGCTCAGGGAACCTCTCCCCCTGAGGCCAGGCCATTTGGTTGCCCTGGCTCTGCAGTCTGAGAAGGGAGGAGGCGGCGCTGCAGTGTGGTGCCCATTCCTGACGAAGCTGTTTCAGGGCCTGGGCAGCTGAGTGGGCGCCTGGCATGCCGGGCACCTGTCCACCTTGGGGTGTCTGCAGCCTGTCCAGGCACACATTCCCCTGGCCGACAGAGGGGGCTGTTTGTTTAAAAGAATGTTTATTCCTGGTTTGTTGTGAGCAAAGTCCTATGTAGATACCCCGTCATTCAAACTTGTTAATCATGTTATCAAGTCCTACAGTTTTCTATTTTTTTATTGCCTACGTCAGTGGTTCTCCAAGTGTGATCAGGATTCTCCTGAAGGTCCCCAAGTTCCTTTCAGAGGTCTACAAGGCCAAAATGGTCCATAATCCTGAGGCCCACTCAAAGTACAAGATATACCAGTGGGTTTTAAGGTGATAGAGTAAGAAAAGTTTATTGATATGGTTTCAGATTCTACATTACAACCAACATTTAAGGAACAGCCACATGTCAATTTTTTTGGTAGTATCAAAGAAGAATATCCACAATATCTGAAAAGGCTATTAAAATACTCTCCTTTCCAACTACATTTCTGTGTGAAGCCATATTTTGTTTATATACTTCAACCAAAACAACATGTAACAACACAGTGAATGCAGAAGGAGATATGAGAGTCTGTTTTCTGTGAAGCCAGACACGAAAGAGACTTGCAAAAATGTAAAACAATGCCACTCTTCTATTTTTTTTGGTAAAATACAATTATTTTTCACAAAATTTACATTAACATATTATGGGTTTATTATTGTTATTTTAAATAAATTAGTAAGTAAAATTTTTCTTAGTTTTAATTTTAAACATGGTAAATATTGATAGGTGTAAACCCATATAAACAAAAGCTCTTTAATCTAAAAACCTCAATAATTTTTAAGAGTGTAAAGGGGTCA